TGTCAGCCGGTTCCGATGAGTGACCAGTCGCATCCCTAATAGCTACTGTACTTTTAGGTTCTTAATGTATTTCATGTCAGTTTTTGTTTTTCTTTGTCTTTTAGGTTCTTACGTTGAAACCACAGATTGTCCAGTGTTTTTGATTCCAGTGCTGCTTTCTGTAGTAATAGTACTAGTGATCGGAGCTGTGATATACTTCAGGACAAAGAGAGGAGGATATCAAAAAGGCAGGTCTTATGAAAACTAAACATTGTTCATGTCTTTCTAATATCTCCCAATGATTGAAAAAAGAAAATATCATTATGTGTCATTCTGGATTTCAGCCAACTTGATGCAATTTGGATACACTGAAACCATCACAGAAGCTCTGACCGTCAAAGAAAGCAAACACAAAATCCAGCAACAAGTTTGAAGATTCAAACACAGGGATTCATGGATTCTAGCTATGGTTGTTTTTTTTCTTTCCTCTCTTCATTGATATCACTTATCTCCAGCAGCCTGAATCATTTAAATTTTTCTAATCTCTGAAATGTTCTAATAAATAGATAATTTTCCAGTAGGTAAAGCAGAATCTAAAGGGATAGTTCACTCAGAAATGAAAATTCTGTCATCATTACTCACCCTCATGTCGTCCCATACCTGTATGAGTTTCTCTCTTCTGGTGAACACAAAAGAAGTCTATACAGTGGAAGTCAATAGGAACCATAACGGTTTGGTTACCAATATTCTTCAAAATATCTTCTTTTATGTTCAACAAAAGAATGAAAGTCATACAGATTTAAAATGACATGAGGATGAGTAAATTATGACAGAAATTAATTTTTTTGGCTGAAGTAAGCTTTAACCTTTTAAGGCTTTAATCTGAATGGTTATAAAAAGAAAGTCGCAATAAGTTAGGAACAATGAAAAAAGAGGAAATTTTATTATCAGAAGAAAACAATTATAGCTAGACTAATCTAAGTCTGTCTACTAAAGTGGTGCAGGGACAACACACTTTAGGTGAACCCTAAAGTGTAATAATAGGTAAATTCCATCGATTCCTGGGGCTTTCTTGTTTGGCAGATATATCTTAGCCTATGCAAGTTCCAAAATAATGTGTAAACCATGCCATATAGTCGATTCGTCAGCTATATGCCGGTCCCAAGCCCGGATAAATGGTGAGGGTTGGGGACAGCAATGGTGAACGACTCTGTAAAAAAATGTTCGCCAAAAACTTATATCAATCAACTATAATAATACAGATGGTAAAAAAGACACATGATGAAGTTCATCAAAAGTATCCATAAGTGAAAAAATGATAACTTGTTTCCGGGTTTTAGATCTCATTCCTACACCACAATAAAAGTTGCAGCGTCTGAGCAGCAAATCTTCAGCCAAAATTAGACAAAACTAATTGGATACTAAATTGCTGGCTGCCGATAGTGAACAACAATGTATGGGAGAGTCCTATTGAGTAAAGCTGAGAGTTTTAATTTTAAGCAAAGTGCAGTAGATTATCTATCAAACTGCCATTTTCATAAGCTCTTGAATCCTGTAAGACTGTACTTAAATATAATTCCCCATCCTACACATGAAAAGAAAAAATGCAAAAAAAAGAAGAAATCTGCAAAAATAGAAAAAAAAATCATAAAATTACTGTCAACAGATCACTTTATTTGTTGGTGTGGTTGGCAAATAAATGTACTTTTTATTTCCGAACTCTTGAGTAATCAAGGGGAATTTTTTAATTTGCTGATTTTATTACTTTGAAGAGTGATATAGTTAAAATTGTAATATGAGCATTTGATGAATGTCTCCTTACAAACATCTTATCACAAGTGATGAAATGATTACTAGCATAATGAGTTAATGCTTTATAATTAAGGCAAGACACTCCAGGTGAAAACATTATTTTTTATGCCTTGTCAATTGTGATCTGGGCCATTTGGGCTATTCCACAGCATGTTGTTTCAGACAAGTGGAAAGAAAACAACCAAAATACACTTTTAAGTATTTATTTTATTGCACTTTATATATTTGTATGTATAGATTTCAATTACAACACATTTCTTCAAATGTTTTTTCTCAAAATGATTTTTTCCCCCCTCATGCACTGACCCAGAAATGTCCACTTTGGTAGCACTTACATACACCCTTTACAGAAGGGTTTGTTTTAGATTATGATTTATTTTCACATTATTATATTTATTACTTGCCACAATATTTTCAATTTTTGTAATAAGAAGTGATATCTAAAATCTCCTATGTAAAAACCTGTAACTCTAATATGTCAACAAAATGAAACAAGAAATGTAAATCTTCATCCAAAGTTCAGATTTCTGTTCTGGAAATGTATACAATTTAGTGCATATTTAATTAGATAATGCCTCATTTGCATATTTAAACATTACATTTAAAAAACCTTTAATACAAAAATGTTTGCAATTCTTAGTGTTATCAGTCAATTGAGGAAGCGGTGATATTTGTTAATTTTTTACCCTATTTGCTTGGGGTGTCTTGCCTTAAACATTATATACCCAGGGCCAGTGTTGTGGCCCCTTATATTTTTCTAACTCATTTAACATACTTAAATGAATTAAAAGTATGTTCAAATTATTGTATTTTATCATGTATTTTAACTAAATAAAAATGACAAACTACAGTTGGTGTGTGTTCACTTTTTGTGAAAAAAAATAAACCTAGCATGTGTGCATCTGTTATTGGTTGTGGCAGCATCTGATGTGTTATTACGCCTTCAGCATATTCATATGCATGCAGAGTGAGGCCCCGTTATTAGCAACAACATTTCATAGATCATGTAAATTAAACATGGATATTAGAAAATTGCTTGTTGGTTCTGCTTCTGCAAGGCGTTCTTCAGATTCAGAATGTATTAGTACTCTGCCTTCTCATACAGCGCTGAGAAGGCAGAGTGCAACACTCAATTTTCCAGTAAGTTATGAATGGGCTTGACCTGTATGACCTTTAAAAACGCTGACATGTCCGAGGACCACAACCCCAACAACATCATGGCTACATAACTCTACTCGCCCCTCCACTGACAGCTGGTGTGTGGTGGGCTTTCTTGTACACGACTGCAGCAAAAATTACAGTAACAACTCCTGTACAAACTCCTGGTTAAAATCCATTTAATTTCAAATGATAAGTGTATAAGTCATCAGAAGAAAACATACATTAAAATACCAAGTCACAACACACTTACAAAAAATATCACAAATAAATGCATATTTTAAATAAAAATAATAAATATTTAAAAAATAATATATAAAACAAAGAAACACAGTTACTATGAGCAAAACATAATTAATGAGGAATCAGAATGTGATTATCTCACGATGCCTGCGTACACTACCTCATCCTCTTGTTTTATATATTGCTTTTTTTTTTTTTTTTTAGAATTAATCATACTAAAAATGTTACATACCTCAAGTACCATTAACCATTGATAAAAGAAACAACAAAAAATCCACACAAATAGCAAGAGCTGTCTGAAACTGGAAAAGTTATATAATTTTTTTTGCACATTAACTGTAATTTTGCCTCATATGACCCCTTTAAGTTTTTTGTTTTTTTTTCTAAAGTAGTGCATTTGTTTATCAAGAACACAATAGGGTATGTGAAAAGCTTGAGATTAAATATGTGATAGGTGGAAAAATCAAGCTAAATATTTATAGATTTTATAATTATAGAATGTCTTTTCCAATAATTCTGTGTCTAATTAAAATATAATTTAACTGTTTTTAGGATACACAAAATGCTAGCCATGAAAGTCAGCAAGACTTTGGCCATTTTATTTTTATTAAAATGTCATTTCCATAATTGCCATGCTGTGGGATGCAAGACAAATTTTGGATGAAACTACAACAATAAACATGAAATTTAATTGAAACTGAATTTAATTTATATTTATACTATGAATTATATATACTTCATATTCATATTTTATAATTTATTCCGAAGCAATTAGTCTTTATTGTTCTATCAGCTCTTTACATCTTACTAAGTCATCCAACTAAAATGATCATAATACGTGAAATGGTTGCTGGCATATATATATATAATTTTATTTTAAATTAATTATTTCTTAAAATAACAATTTTTTCTTACTGTGAAGAATATTCAAAAAATCGAAAGAACCTTTTTACATTATAAAGAACCTTTTGTGGAATGGAAAGATTCAGTTGATGTTAAAGGTTCTTCATGGAAATATTCTGTAGATGGCAATAAAGAACCTTTATTAAGTGTAAAGAAGTCCCAAAAAGTCTTCTGTAGTAGTGTCTGAGCAACAGATGAGCAACAGAAACACTAATTTTAATAGTAATTCTACAATGGAAAATATGGTAAGTGAAAGTGGGTCACTAGAACTAATGCAGACACATGGCAAAGTCATTAATAACTTTTTTTTTTCTTACCGTTTTTTGTGCATTTCTTTTACAGAATGTTGGATCAGCATAAATTATCTCTTCCTCATGGGCCTGAACTATTTTAAAAATAATGACAAATGTATTAAATTCTGTTTCTTCACATTTAAAAAAAAAAAAAATTTTACAATGTATTAGCTGCACTTTAGTTATACATGCCTTCTTGGTCTGTTTTTCTACATTTCCTGCAGACGCAGAACATCCCAACGGCAGCCACAATCAACAGAGTTACGCCAGCAACAGATATAAGCACTATGTGATTTGTAACGCCTGAAGAGAGACAGTCATTATTAATGTAAACTCATCTGCTAGTCCAATATCACAAAGAATTACACAGCTTCCAATCACTGCTTACATCACACACCTGAACACAACCAACAGAGTAGGCAAGTAAATAAACACAAATATGACTGATGTACCTGCACACGGCTGACAGAGTTGACTGATGTCCAGATGTTTGGTCTGGTTGCTGATGTTGTTGTTCAGCACACAGCTGTAGGTGTTTTTATCCTGATGTTCCACCTCCAGAGGTAAAGAGAGACTGATGCTGAGATCAGACGCACTGATGCTGGAGATTACACTGTTTCCTTTGTACCAGGAGAGAGTCACATGATTCACATTCAGCACTGAACACAGCAGTGAACATTTAGACACTGATGAACTTCCAGAAGATGAAGAACATTGTGAAGTGTCTCTGATGATGACAGGAACGGGAAGAAGAGCTGGAAAATATCAGAGGATGAAGAGAAATCAGTCAAAACTTTGTTGTGATCTCTTAGTCAGCTCACACGCAGGGGACAGTACTAATCATGTTTTTTTATATATATCTCATTAACTACAATACAGCAATTTGTCATTCTATGAATGATCATTTGTGGCAAAGATTTATGGTCAAAACAGATCTGAAGAGAAAAGACCAAATTCTGTACTCACCATAGACAGTAACATTGAACGTTTTCTCTGCTTCTTTATTTGTGGTGATCTCTACTTGATAAAGTCCAGAGTCTGTGGTTCTGATGTTTGTGATGGTGAGAGATCCAGTCTGACTGTCCATCTTCACTCTGTCTCTGAATATCTCATCAGTAACATGACTGATATTTGCTGCTCCGTTGATTTCAGCAATGACAATATCTGGGTTTTCAGCTCCAAACATCCACTCTATCACTGCATCACTTCCCTGTATGTCAGTAACATCAATGTGTAGAGTGACAGAATCTCCCTCCATCACTGACAAACTCTTCGTTTCACCTGCTTCAACACCAAACACTCCTGAAACACATTCATACACGAACTCTTAATTCTAAACCTTTTTTTTCAAACTAAGTGCAAGAATAGCATTTTGGGATTGTTGGGGGGAATGTAGAAAGGCGCGAATAAACTGAAATATACTTTTACAAATGATTAAAGTGACCAAGTGTCGCATAAGAAATTTATCTGCGCGTTAATACGTAGCTCCTTGTTGATTACATAACGATATTTTACTCGTATTGCAAGAAGTACACAAAAACTCACCATTAAAATGCCACAACCATAAACGCAGCAAAACTAAAACAAGAATCATATTCCTTCAGCAGTTAAAGGTGTCAGAAACGTCTGTTACAATCACCACAAACATCGCTTGAGGTCCCTCGACAGGACTGCACATCCTATCGCGTGAACGCGCACAGGCGTGAAAACTTTTTTTTTATTCGCCCTGTTATTTTATCACTAACAGACAAAAAAACTTAAAATTCTTATGTTTAAAGATAAACATAAGAATTTAAATAACCTTCACATTTTGAACACTCAATATTTAGTAGGCTACACTATTGTTTGTAGCTTTGTTAGGAGCTTTATACAGAACCCAAAATTTTGAGTTTCATTTTGAAGTGGGAATAATTTTTCAATTCTGCTTTATCTTTTTATTTTCACTATAGGGCTACCTTTACATTTTCGGTACATGAATAATTAACGAATAATTGAAAAATAAATCCCTACATACATATACAGTATCTGATTGTACCAAATGATTCAATCAAATTATTTAGAATTCTACATCTATGAAATAGCTGTCAGCTGACAGTAGCCTGCTGTTACAGTCACCTGTCCTTTGGCAATCTCTAATAGAACCATTCCATAGGAATCAGCTCCTCCAATCTTGCTTTAATCTTCATCTTATTAACAGATTAACTCATTTTTTACTCTGTTTATGTATCACTTTGATTTTATTTGATGGTTGTTGTTTTTTTAAAACATCAGTGTTGATAGATGTATGTCTTTATGTGACTGTGAAACTGTTTTGTTTAGAGCAGAATGGATGTCAGACTGCAGGGTTCATATCAACAGGTGGTCAATATATATTAAACTACACATCCATTAACAGACACATTCACGTGTTTCATTTGTTCATCCAACTGATTAAACCACATTCATCTAGTTGAACTTGTGCTACACTGACCCAAATAAAGGTCAGACCACAACAGGTTTCATTCTGTCTGACTCACAAACTAAACTGGTCAGAGAGCCCTCATATTTATGACCAAAAAAAACTTTTTCTCAGAGAACTGGCAAGATTTGAACTGCTAATTTACAATATTTTTTACATTTTCTTCATAACCTTGGTGTCTGAATTTAGCATTAATAAACAGATATTTGAAAACTTTTTTCAAAATTCATCAGTTTCATCAATTTCATATGAATTGTTCATCAAGAAATATATAAAAAAAAGATGTATGTCTTTACTCTTCTGGATTTTTGTCATGAACAAAAAACTGCAACAGTAGCCACACCAGGCACAAACTAAGGAAATCTTGAGACCAGAAACAGACTGTGGCTATTCTCAATTTATATTTGTGCATACTCGTTTGCTTTTTTCACTTCCATTAGTCGCATCTCAGCTCCACCCCCTCAGGATGCTAGAAATGCAAGGAAAGAAAATCGAAAGTAATGCCTATGTGTATAGTGAAATAATCTTTATGACTGGAGCTTCATCAACTGTTCAAGGGATCTGATCTTATGTAGTTGAGGTTTGGTTATTCAAGAAATAAGAAATTATGTATAAGAAATACA